TTTTTTCAAATTTAATTAATTTTTTTTATAAACCTATAGATTGAAGAATAACGAATATAAACGAACAAATTTTTGTTTCTTTTATTTCTTTCCGAAAAAAAGAAATTCTTTTTTTTTATTGTTTCATTTCTTTCTGAAAAAAATTTGTTCTTCTTCAATTTTCAATTCATTGGGCCGAACAAAATTCCTTGAAACCAAAGTGATATTGAAATAATTTAATCCCAGCTAGATTGACTTTACAATCTACCGGACACAACGATTGTTGTTGGCTGGACCAAATTTACGGTTAGGGAAGTAAATACGAATCAATCGATCGTAACAATTATTCTTCCACATCCACGAATTCTCAACATCTATTATACTTTACGTGAATTTATATTCATTTACAGAGAGAAATTCATATATAATTTTAATTTTCTCCAAATAGTATATTTTATATATGAACCACAATTCTGAATATAATAGTTTTATAAATATGCAAATATGGTTCAATTTTAGTCGGAGGATATTTATTTCATTAATTTTCATTATGTACGACGTTAATTTCTCGATGAGAATTTGATATGTTTTATACATTCGTATAAAATTTGAATATTCAGTTTGTCTCATATCAGGGATTTTTTTTCATGGAATATTTATTCCACTTTTATTAAATTTCATTTTTTATTCTAATTATAGGAAAAATTTAACATTGAGGAATATAAAAATTATGTAGAATTATAATTATTCTCGTATAATTATTAATTTACTGTATTTTTGCTTTTAAATAAATAATTCAACTTTTAATAAATTTTGAAATTTTGAAAAAACCGTTAATTTTTAATTTATTTGATTCTGAAATAATTACCGTTTAGCTTTTTATTATAACTATTTTTATTGATATTAAAATTAAATTTAAAAATATTCAATAAATTAAATTAATGAAGAATGTTAAAAAATAAAAGAATAATAATAAAGATTAAAGAACAATAAAGAATGATAAAAAAATAATGGAAATAATAAAAATAATAACAAAAATAAGCAATAAAAATAAGTACCGTAAGTGAGGCTAAATTCGCTCATGTAGGGTAAATTCGCTCAACCGATGTCTATTTTTTAAAATTCGATTAACATACTTTTTAGACAGAAATATTTAAGATTTACAATTGTTTTGGTTAATATAAATGGTAAACTTTAATTTAAAATTTATTTGCAGCAAATTCATTGGTAACTTTCAGTAGAAATTATATTTAAAACACAAGTGAATAATTTTCATATTGAACAAGTAGTATGAAAAAGTAGGAAATAAAGCTTTACTTCAAAATTTTTAAGTTGAATACTTCTGAACATTACATTTCCTGTATCTCCAACATGATATTCATAAAGCACAAAAATTAAAGCAATAAACAGATTCTGCAAAAAATCAATTAAAAAAAAAATTCAAATTTGTTGTGTAAATTCGCTCAGGAAATAAGTCTACAAAAAAGATGTTTGGGCCTGGATATTTTAAGTATGTTAATTACTTTAATTTATAATTCGATTTTTTGAAATAATAGTACTCTTATAACTGAAAATTAAACGATTTAAAACGGTTTAAGCACTAAACTGTCAAACTTAACCTTGTTTTTTTATGGTTATGAGTACGTTTGATTGAATGATTGAATCTAATTACTTATTGATAAAACAATATTAAATATTTATTCCAATAACTTTGAATATTGTTCTTAATTTTTTTCTTTATTGATTCTAAAGAATATTTAGTTTCATTTTTGCAGATTATAATATATTTTGCCAGAATAATAATGGTGAGCGAATTTACCCATCATTTAAAGGTAAATTCGCTCACAAAAAAACGGCTTATAAATAATTTTCTGCAACATATTTCAATTTCTTTATGCAGTAATAGGAAAGATAAAGGGTTAAAGATTATATATTTTCAGTGCCAATGTTTATTTTCATCGTTTCCCGAAGTTATTTAAAAAAGAATTGAAAAATTGAGCGAATTTAGCCTCACTTACGGTATTTATTAAAAAATTGTAATTAATTAAACGAATTTAAAAGAAAAATAGATCTTTCGTTCTAAATTTAATGCGTCAGTAACAGACATGTAACTTTTGATAACAATTTAATTTATAATTTATTTTAATATCGTAATTTTATAATTTAAAAGTTTCTCTTAAAAAAAAGTTTTTCTCGTCAAATTCTTGAAGTTTAAAATGTTACGATAAACGGTTTGTAAAGTAACTTCCACTATTTCTAACAAGATTTTTTCAAACTGTTTTTATTCTTTTAAAGAAAAAAGATTTTTCAAAGAATGTTTTTATCTGTTTTGGAAATATTAATTTTATAAAAAATTATTCTTAACAAATGGTAATCGCATAATTGAAGGAAAAAAGATTTACTATTGATAATTTTATTACAAAATCGATGGAAAATGAAAAATATTTCTTATTTAAGTACTAATTATAAGATTGATTTCTTCTATGTGCTCTTATTGTATTTTAGTATCTTATTTAGTATTTATTAGTATTTTTTAACATTTTACTGTATTGTCTATTTATTCATTTGTTTTTTTAAACTCTAAACGAGTTTACAAATATTAAAAAAAAATTTTTTAAGTTTTGAACTTTCAAATGAAAATTATTTTTTAATAATTAAAGTATTATTATAATAAAATATTATGTAACCAAATATTATAATAAAATCATAATTTGAATACAAAATTAATTAATATAAATTAATTAATTAACAAATTACCTAATATAAAATAAATATCATTCATCTGAACGTTCAAAAACGTAAAATTCAAAATTCAAAATTCAAATACAAATACAAATACAATTGTTATTGTATTATTGTTTTATATATTTATTTCTGAATAGTTGACACATTTAGATTTTGGACGAACTTCCGGTTTTTACACGCACTTTTACTAAAATAGTCTTTCCTTTTATTTTAATAAAAAATAAAAAATTTGATAAAAGATTTTACTGGAAAAAAAAATTAAATTATTCTCCCAGTGACATTTTTTAAATTATTGACGAATTTCTTTAATTGTAAAATTATTCGAAAACATCAATAACTTTTTTTTTAAATAAATATTTAATCAATATTATTTTCCCACAGGAATTAAGAATTTCAAAAATTTTAAATTCAAATCTTTTTAAATTCAATAACTTTTATTTTTATAAAACATGAAGAAAGCGATTGTTCCGAGTCGAGACTCGGAGTGATCGATTTCTTCATGTTTTATTATAATTAAAAATGACCGAGTGATAAAATCATTTTTTTCATATCATAAGAATATTATTACAGTAACTTTTTCAAAATTATTTTCATCATTTTAAATCAATTATTGTTTTCTAGAATTTTTAATTATTTTCTATGAAAATAATTGAATTCGTTAAAAAAAATTTTATTATTTATAAAAATAATTGAATAATTGCGAAGGAATTTTTAGAAAATTTGTAAATACACTCGAATCTCGCTATAACGAGAAGTTCGGGAGTCAAGTCTCCCTCTATTACGAGCGCAAGAGGAGAAATGAGAAATCCCCACTTTTAAGATTCTTCATTCATTTTTTTTAGTGTTTACAAATTAAATAATGTCAAAATTACAAACGTAACCTAGTTTAATTTGAACTTTAACATACAGAAAATTTATATAAGCTTAAATTTTGAAGATGTTCGACTCATTGATATAATTTCAAATAAGAAGTGACTTTTTACTTTTATTTTATATAAATAAAATTGATTTTAACCAAATTTAAACCAACTGAATGTGCATTTGTTTATAAATAGTGGGGGTAATCAGGAGAAAATTTTTCTCGCTATACCGAGAGACAGAGCCCTCGTTATAGAGAGCGCTCGTTATAGAGAAGGTCGTTATAGCGAGATTTGAGTGTAATTGAATTCCTGAGAAATTTGTATTATTTATGAAAATAATTAAATGTTTGCGTACTATTTTTGGGAGTTTGAAATTGATTTGAAAATAATTGAACTTTGGAGGAAAATTTTGTTATTTATAAAGATAATTGGGATTTTGACAAGAATTTTTTTTTAAATTGGAAAGATAATTGAATTTTATGAGAAGAATTTTATCTCTCTTGAAAATAATTGAATTTCTGCAATTATTTGTAATTTTTCCAAAATTGGATTTTTTTTAGTATTTTTAACAAAAATTTGAATTACAAATAAATTGATAGTTAAAATCAGGGTTAAAATAATAGTTGTACTATAGTGGCTTTTTTAGTTAAATTTAAAGTATTATTTCTGGTTTTATTTTTATTATAAATTTTTTTTTTTAAATTCTCTTTCGGTTCTCTTTGTTTGATTGTTGTTGTTGTGAATATTGTATATATTCGTTTAGTCATATTTTTTCTGGTTTCATTTTTACTGCAAATATTTTTTTAAAATTCTCTTTCGGTTTTCTTTGTTTGTTTGTTTGTTTGTTTGTTGTTGTTATAAATATTGTATATTTGTTTAGTAATATATTTTTTCGATGATGCGGCGTATAACTTGTTGAAGACTCGAGACAAATGTGAGAAAAGGAGGGTAACGATGTATCCTCGGCTTTCACGTCTCAACTTTTGACGTCACTCTCGTTAATGTTCCCATATCCTCCATTAACTTATCGGCATTATTGCCCATAATGCCAACTGTGACATCTTCGTTTTCTTCCAATTCCTTCTTACTCTCCCCCCCCCCCCCTTATAATCGAATTGCACTCGAGGAAAAACTTATATAGGTCAAATCAATATATATTGTGTATAAATAAAACTATTTGTAGCAATTCTTCGTTATTTTTGTCCCTCATTCATTATCATTATCAAAATATTACTCTCAAAAAAGAAAGAGATTTATTTTTTCATATTTTATTCGTCGTTTCTTTTTTTTAACAGTGAAAAATTGAATTTTTCATTTTCTCTTAATTAAGATTTATTTTCTTATTTATGTTTATTATTTATTTATAAAAAATGTTTTTATATAAAATTGAATAAAGGGGGAAACTTTTAAACTTACTCCATCCGGATGATATTTTGGAAGACTTCCGGGTGTTGAGGCAGTGCCACAAAATTCGTTGAGAACATCCTGCAGTTTTTTTGTCGAATCTAAAATTAATGGAAAATATCTTGTTTTAATTTTTACTTTTCTCGACAATATTTTTTCATTGTGTTATAAATATTAATGTGGAAAATTATAAATATTAGAAATGGGTAAAGTTTACAACGAGAGCGGAAGAAAAAATTAATTTTTATCCAAAAAAATATGATCCTTTTGATTTGGAACATTCAAATGAATAAAATATATTTTATTGCAAATATTTTCACAAATTACTGATTGCAATAAAAATTAAAAACTTAAATTGTACACTAAGAAACTTTATGACTAATTTTTTCGATAGTTACTCGTAAAATTTTTGTAATAAAAATTTAATTTAAATGAGAAATAAAGAAATTTTGTTCATTTGAACTTTCAGATTTGCAGGATCTTAATGATCCTGCAAATCTGAAAGTTATAAGTTATTATAAAAAAATAATTTTAAATTTATAAACAAATATTTAAGAAGCTTAAGTGAGAAATTGATTCGGAGAGATTGTTCACTTCGTCCACTTTTAATAAACAAATATTAAATTCATAAATAATATTAAATTCAAAAATAGATATTAAATTCATAAATAGATATTAAATTCATAGACATAAAACATTAAATTAATAAATATAAATATTGACAAAAATATTAAATTACAGTGATTAATCATTTTGTAAATGCAAAATTTACAACTTGAATTATTCATCGTTTTTTCTCATTTTCATTTTAATTTCTTTCTTTTTTTTATCATTGAAATTTTTTTGTCAAAACGTTCATTACATGTCATTTGTCATCTTTTTAAAACGACTAATTCGAACTTAAAAGAAGGAGATTTTACCACCATTAATTTTCTGTTGACTTGAACAAGAAAAGAAACACGCTTGAGAATAAAAGCGCAAGATGAGAAATATTCGAGGGAATATGGCAGGAGAAAAAAAAAGTCTATTAGAACCAATGAGACATTTGAAATTGACGATTATTTCTAAACGAGAAAACTATGTTGATAAACAATTCAACAAGGTAACGTGCTCGAGTAACGAGAAAAATATATCGTTTCAAGAGTATAAGTTTTTTCTCGCAACTTCAGATAGCATTTAGAGTTTTAAAAAAAAACAGTCTTCTCTTGTATTGATATAAAATATTATTAAATTGCGTTAGAAATATTCTTTTCAACTTTAAAAATAAAAAAAAATCCGAATTTTTTTATTTAAATCAAATTTTTTTCTGGAGCTTGGTTTTTTAATAATGAAATATGTCTTTGATTTAAATCCTGATTGGAAAGAAAGCAATTATATTAGTTATCAATTGCAAACAATTAAATTCATTTAAAAAAAATAATTTTATTATTATCATTACTGTAATAAATTATTGGTTTAAAAATAAGTTTTTTTATACTTTTGTTTTTTGTTATCTTTAGATAGATTGTATATTATATTATTATGTTATAATTATTTTTATTTTATAATTAATTCAAAATAGTAATGACAAATAGAAATGATCAGAATTTTTTTCACTTCTTTTCATTAAAAGACTAAAATTTTGTTAAATATTATATTTTGTCAAATTGAAATTCTGCAGATTTTTGTTCTTTACTTCTAAGCAAAATTAGAAAATTGTTAAACAACTGTGATTAGGAAATAGAAAATTTATTTATTTTACGAGAATTTTTTTCAAATTTTAAACATAGTTGAATTTTATAAGAATTTTAATTTTTTTGAAAGTAATTGAATTTCTGCAATTATTTCAAAATTCTATTACTTTATTTAAAAATTTTTTCGTTAAAAAATCAATTTTGTCTTTAAATCAGATTTTTCATTTTATAAATATATTTTAATAAAATTTTTTTAAAATAATTGCACTTTTCGAGGAATTCATTTAAAATTGTATGAAAAAATAATTGAAATTCTACAATGAGTTTTATAATTTATAGAAATAGTTGAATTATTGCATCGATTTTAATTGAAAAAAAAATTAAATTCTTAAGAAAAATGTTATTATTTTGAAAATTAATTGAATTCTTGCCCAAAAAATTGATTACAATCTTTAAAATTATACAAATTTTGCAAAAAATTTTATTATTTTTGAAAATAATTGAATTTCTCAAAAGAATTTTATTATTTATGAAATTAATTGAATTCTTTCCAAAAAATTGATAATAATCTTTGAAATAATTGAATTCCTCACAAGAATTTTCTTACTTATGAAAATAATTGAATTTTTATGAAGAATTTTGTCAACATTTTCAAAAATAATTAAAATCCCCTAAAAAATTTACTTATTTATAAAAATAATTGAATTCTTTACAAGAATTTTGATTTAAATCTGTGAAATAATTCGAATGTTGCAAAGAATTTTATTATTTTTCGAAATACTTGAATTCGTCAGAGGAATTTTATTATTTATGAAAATAATTGAATTTTTGTGAAGAATTTTGTTAAAATTTTAAAAAATAATTAAATTCCCCTGAAAAACTTAATTATTTATAAAAAAAAATTGAATTCTTTACAAGAATTTTGATTAAAATCTTTGAAATAATTGAAATTTTGTAAAGAATTTTATTATTTTTGGAAATAATTGAATTTTTACGAAAAATTTTAATATTTTGTATATTAATTGAATGTTTGAGAGGAATTTTTAACATTTTTTTTTTTTTTTTTTTTTGAATAATAGAATTGTTTTGTGAAATTTTAGTAAAATAGTAATTAAAATTTGAACTCTTTTTGGGAAATTTTATTAAAATAGATATTGAAAATCATTGAAATTAGAAAATTTTTTGAAAATAATTGAAATTAGGACAAGAATTTTTTTGACATTTATAAAAATAATTAAAAATAATTGAACTTTGGAGAAGAATTTTGTTATTTATAAACATAATTGGGATTTTTTCGAGAATATTTTTCAAATTTTGAACATAGTTGAATTTTAATACAAGAATTTTTTTTAAAGAATTGAATTTCTGCAATTATTTGTAATTTCTCCAAAATTGAATTTTTTAGTGTTTTCAACAAAAATTTAAATTAGAAAATTTTTAAATTCTATTATTTTTAAAATTGGTAATTTTAATTAAGAAAGGTAGTAAAAAGTTAGTTAAATTGTTGCTAATCATTTTTGAGGGAAATAAATTTTTCTTTTTAATATAAGTTTGTAATTAATATTGATTTAATACAACTTACACACTGCTAAGTCTTGAAGTTGCTGAAATTCAGCTGGCGAAAGTTTTTCCCAATGAAGGGTCATTCTTAACTTTCGTTCAGAATGTTTTGGAATGATGAACAACAAAACATACGTTCTTTACAGTGTTTGTCACCTGAAACAGATGAAGAAAACATTCTTGTTTATTTATTTCACTATTTTTGCGGTTTCAAATTTAATCGGTAAAATTTTATTCCCTTTTTTTACAATTCTCCCCCACCCTTACTCTAATTTAATAATTATATTAATGACACCTAATTTAAAAAGTTTTTATTAATTTTTGATCATATTTATTTATTTATTTATTTATTTAATTAGATCAAGTTCCTAGGGCTTTCCTATTTAATTTTTAATTCATTATTATTTTATTATTGTTAATATTGAATATAGTAATAATTATAATTTAATTATAATAATAATTATAATTTAATTATAATAATAATTATAATTAATTTAATTATAATAATAATTATAATTAATTTAATTATAGTAATAATAAAAATTTAATTATAGTAACAATAATAATATATAATATTTAATATTTATTGTTTCAAATGATTTAAAATAATTACGAATCTTTTGAGATTCAATATGGAGACGCTAATCTCCACTTGAGAACGCCAAGGTTACCTCAAGATGGCAGTTCAGTTCCTTCTAGGAATTTTTACTGACATCTGGTGGTGACATTGGCGTTCTCAAGTGGAGAATTAATTTCACCATTTTATCCCAGAAAAACCTTTTTACAAAAATGTTTTTTTTTAGAATAATTTGAATTGAATAAATAAATAATGTGCGATCGTTTGCAACTATAATTACGAAAATGTTATAATTGTCATAGAAAAAAAAGTATTGATTAAATGCTTTTACAAAAAAGTGTATCGAAATTTGTTGGTAAAATCACAATTTTGATATTGGTGATGATCGCGCGCACAAATACAATGTATTTCTAGTTTTCCTTTATCTATTCAGTAGACTGACATGTGAATCTTTTTTTTCCGCTTTTTTTTTACTGTCATGCTTGTTGAAACGCGAGAGATGCCGAATGAAAAAGGGTGTGATGTGTGAGGGAGGGAGGAGGAGGAGGAGGAATCGAATACAGGCAGTAAAGCTCTCACGAATCTCAAAGCCAGAGTTGTACAAGTCAAATTCAGTGACGGATGTGAATTCTCTAAATGTCCAGAATTTACATGTATACACAAAACTTCCTCGCGTGGTTAAAGCTCTTTCATGACTTACAATACGAGATAAAAGCTTACACAATTTCAAGAGAAATTTCAACTTTATTTTTTATTCTTTTCCTTTATGTTGATCTTTTAGCTTTTCAAACGATTTTTTCTAATTAATTAATTGATTACAATTAATTTACAGTGCGCATCATATTTCTTTTAACAATTTTTTAAAATTAAAATAAAAAATTTTTTTGTCAATAAAAGAGGTTTATCACTTTTTAAGAACATTTTCTAATTAATTAATTTATTTATTATAATTACAGGGTTGCCACAGGTCAGTGAAGTCAGGAAAAAGTCAGGAATTTATATTAAAATTACTGAAAATAATTATATTTATAGAACTCATAAGAAAATTCTGAATTTTTGTGTCTTTTTTGTTTTCCTCATAAATAATGAAATTATCACGAATTCTTATACAATTCCTTCAACTTTTTCCATTTTTGACAATAATTTATTTTCAAATAACTAAGGTAATTTTTAAAGAACTATCATAAAATTATTACTTAGAAATTATTTAATGAATATTTTTATTTAATTAATATTGCAAAATTAATTGAATTTTCAAAGAGTTGCGTTTATAATTTTTATAAAAAGATGAATCTCAAAAGTTTTCAATTTGAAATTTTGTAAAATTTCAATTTTCAATGAATTTAATTAGAAATTTTAAAGAACTTAGATTTTTGATAAATTTTAATAACTAAAATTCTCTTGAAATTAGTAGACTTTTTTAAAAATATATTTAATTGATTATTAAAAATAATGGATTTATAGAAGAATTTTAGTTAAAAAAAAAATTGAATTTTGGAGAAATAACAAATGATTTCTGAAATTCAATTCTTTTCAAAAGTAATAAAATATTCTTCTCCGACATTATATTATTTTCAAGTATTTTAATAAAATTCTTGTCAAAATTTCAATTATTTTCAAAAATTTTCCTCAATTCAATAAATTTCAATATCTGCTATTTTAAAAAAATTTCCCAAATAATTAAATTATTTAAAAAAATTTTAATATAATTCTACCCAAATATTTAATTTTTTTTATAAATAATAAAATTCTTTTTAGGAATTCAATTATGTCCATAAATAATAAAATTCAATAATTCATTGCAGAATTTCAATTATTTTTAATATAATTTGAATTAAATTCCTCGAAAAATGTAATTTTTCTTATGTTAATAAAATTCGTCGAAAGAATTCAATTATTGAAAAATTTGTGGTATATAATAAAAATTGATTTAAAAATGATTTTCAGTTAAAATGTTAAATGGAATAATAATTACAATTTAGAAATTTAAAAAAGATTCAAATGAAAATTTGAATTTTTCATACTTTTAACTAACAATTCTGTAGAATTAATTTTTTTTAATAAGTTTATTTGATTTCTTTTTAATTATTTGAAGTGTTTATTTTCTAGTATAAAATTTAATTGAATAATTTCTGAATATTCGACGTAAAATTAAATTGTAAACAAATGGATTTTAAAATTCTCAACAAACTTTTTCAAAAATTATTCAATTATGTTCAAATATTTTTAAAAAATTTCGTCAAAATTTCAATTATCTTTACAAATAAAAAATTCTTCCCAAAAAAATTCAATTGTTTTCTAACATTTTAATAAAATTCTTGGCCAAATTTCAATTATTTTCAAAAAGTTTCCTCAATTCAATGATTTTCAATGTCTACTATTTTAATAAAGTTTTTTAAAAGAATTCAATTATTTAAAATAAAATTTTCTTTAAATTCTACGTAAATATTTAATTATTTTCATAAATAATAAAAATTTCACAGGAATTCAATTATTTACACATTTTTTTTATAAAAATTTCTTCGCAATAATTCATTTATTTTCATAAATAGTAAAATTTTTAACTGGGAAAAAGTTAAAGGTCAACCTTGAATTAATTTAGAAGAAATTGTTTATTTAATAATAATAGAATGAAAGAAAGAAAGAAAGAAAAAAAAGGATTCTGGTTTTTTACGAGAAACATTATTATTTTGCATTCCATATGTAAGCATTTGTGTGTAGTATTATTCTTTTGTCCAAAAGATGCGCAGGTAACAAAAAAGTAGTCTTTCGTGTAAAGCGAAAATTTCAGTCAAATTTATCTTAAAACTTTTTTTTTCTACTAATTTAACACGCGCAAAAGAGGGAAAAAGTGGATGGTTGGTGGCGATGATAACGAGACCAAGCGTCGTTATACCGTCTTTTATTTATTTTTTTTTTCTCTTTTTTTTGAATAAGAAGAAAAGTGGAGTGTAAAGGAAAAAAGAAGAAGAAGAAGAAGAAAAAGAAGGGAAAAAATGCAAGAAAGAGACGACAAAAGAAAAAGAGAAAAAGAATGTTCCGTAAGACTTTGAGAAGATCGTGAACTTATATCCTTGTGTATAAAGGGCATAGACTTTCACAGTGCATCGAGGTGCAATGACGCGCATGCTGTTTAAATATATATATCTACGATATGTGATAGGGATACTTCAATACTTTCAAGTGTGGTTTTATTGGTTGCAGTAGGTTCCTATTCCCAACTGAATATTTACTCTCTTAGATAAATAAACCTCTATAGCCATCAATTTATTAAACAAGTATCTGCATTTCAGTGTATGAACAATTTATTTCTATATTACATGTACTATATATAATTATTGACGTTTCACTTTTCTATTTTTTTCTATTTGCTATTTTCTTTATTTCAGGCATCTAATACTAAAACCTACTATTTACTACTTTTTTTACGTTATGATACTATTTAGGTACTTTTTTTAGATTTCAGCCACTAAGAGCTACTATTTCTATTTTTTTTTTTTTGTTGAGAATTTCCACTACTTTAAATTTGCGAATACTAAAAATTAAAAAACTATTCTCAAAAATTGTAATCAAATTAATTAAAACAATTCAATTATTTTCAAAAAATTTTTGAATTTTTGTAAATTTTAATAAAATTCTTTGCAACTATTCAATTATTTTCATAAATAATAAAATTCATCGCAGGATTTTAATTATTTTTAATACAATTTTACAGGAATTGTTCAAAAAATGTAATTATTCTTAAAAATTTAATTTCGATTTCTCGAAAAAATCAATTATTTATTAAAAAAATGTTTTTTTTTTTAATTCTTCAAAAGAATTCAATTATTAAAGATAAATAACAAAATTATTCTCGAAAATTCAATTATTTTAAGGCATTTTAATAAAATTCTTTGCAAAATTCAATTTTTTACATAAATAACAATATTCATCACAAGAATTCAATTTTTAAAAGTAATAAATTTTTCCTTGGAAATTCAATTATAAAAAAATTCCAATAAAATCGTTCGCGAGAATTCAATTATTAATTATTTTTATAAATAATAAAGAACTTTTTAGGAATTTAATTATTTTTCAAAAAGTTTAATAAAATGACACACAGACATTCAATTATTCTCAAAAATTTTAATAGAATTCTATGTAAAATTTATTTTTTTTTAAAAAACTTCGCAATTTAATGATTTTCAGTATCTACTATTTTCATAAAATTTCCAAACAGAATTGAAGTATTTAAAAAATTTTTTGGAAAAATCTTCGTAAGAATTCAATTCTTTTCATAAATAATTAAAATTTTTCAGCAATTCAATTATTTAAATTAGAATTTGCATAAAATTAGTCGAAAGAAGTCAATTATTTAAAAAATTTTTATAAAATTCTTCGCAAGAATTAAATTATTTTTCTAAATAAGTATTTAAATTCTTTCATGAGTAATAAAATTCGTTGCAGGAATTCAATTTATTAATTAAAAAAAGTTTTTGTAAAAATTTTCTTAAAAATTCAATTCTTTTCATGAATAATAAAATTTTTTAGGAATTCAATTATTTAAATTAGAATTTGCATAAAAATTTAAATTTAAATT